GTTTCACACCTAAAAACTCCTCAAACCAGAAGTTCTACAATTCTCAGCCACTGCTTTCAACAAATCAGCGAAGAAAGACCCAACTGTAATTTTTTTTTTTTTCAACTTGGAGCTTGGCCAGGTAGGAAAGAACCTCCATCTCACCATTTATCACTTCTTGACGCTTGATTTCGTAGGGTTTGAGCCCCATCAGCACCTCCCTGCTGACGAGCTGCTGCCAGTTGGGAGGGTCCGTGTCCATGTCGAAATCATAGAGCTCATCCTCACTCTGCACATCAGCAAAGCCAACACTGTCCATCCTGACGGGAGGAGAAAGGGGAGAAAATTCCCATTTCAGGCAGAGATGGAAGGAAAAAGGAAAGGAAAAGTTGAGTTCTTAACTGAGCATTAGGAATGCACTCTCCCTGACAGCTGGAGGCTGTTTGATGCCTGACCCTCCGGGCACATTCTCTAATTTTGCCCTTTGCAGATTGACTCCCTGCTCTGACAGCACTTTCATAACCCTCCTTTTAATGACACAGATCAAATCATTTTTCAGCCAAATACCAAGTCAGTGTAAAGGGCAGGTTCCAAGTTCTTTCCTCTGCCTGTCTGCAGGTACAGAGCCAACAGCAACGCTCAGGTTTGAAAGGAAAATGGGAATATCAAAACAGGGCTATCTCTACTCCCCARCTGAACTCCCATCCATTCAAATCAGGAGATTCAGCAACCATTCTGCTTCACTCACAGATCAAAGGGGTTTTTTTGCATATGACTCACTCCCCCTGCCCTATAAATGGCTGCCATTGTCTGATTCCATGGGTTCTTAAAGAAAAAAAGATCATGCAGGCAACTGTGCTGCCTCAGAACAATGAGCACTGCTGCATTCTGCTTCAGAACCTCCTGAAATCCAAACAAATTCAGTGAAGTTCAAACATTTCCAAGCTCACTCACTTGCGAAAAGGCTTTGGTGTTCCCATGTCAACCATCCTGCAAGGAAGGGAAGAAATCATTAGGGGAGCTCGTGCCTGAATTTCTCCMTGCTCAGACACTCAGCATGGCTTCAGAATGGTGCTCTGAGCTCCAAATTAAGAGTATTTTGTCCACCTTCTTGATAGTTTTGTACCACAGCAGAAACACAGACCAAAGTTTCCCAATTCTAGCAATAACATTAATCACAAATGATGCCACTGTCATTTTATGGACTGAATTACAACAGCCATTGTCACGCTGACACAGGAGTTGGGACTACACTGATCTTCCCCAACTCATTCCACGATTCTAACTCTCTCCAGCACCCAGAGTTACCTCTCAGACTCTCCCTCCTCCTCCTGCAGGTTTTCCAAAGGAGATGGGAACTCGAAGGTGTTGTTGGGTGTGCGGGGTGTGGCATCCATGGAGTCACTGGCAGGTGGGGCTTCCCCAGGCTGCTTCAAACCTGGACAGAGGAGTGTGAAACGTGAAAAATCCAATTAGAGGAAATCAGAGAATTTCCCAGTCCCTCCAGAGCCTCTTGATTCCAGCCTCATTTCAGCTCAGAGCTGCAGGAACTGATTYCCCAGGCTGGGAAGAAGAGTCTCAGTGACAAATGCTCCCAGGCTGGCACCTCAGACAGGGTTTTTCCTGTTGGGTGATCCAATGCCACGGTGGCAGAACCCACTAACGAGCATTTCTGGCCATGGAAAGATTCCCTAATTGAGGAAAGCTGACCAAGCTGAGGCACAGCACCTCCAATGACATCAAAACATTTCCCAACTCCCCCAGCTCGTTGCATCAGTGCTCTGCACATCCTGTTCACGGCACAATCTTTAATCTTTGCCCTGCATTCCACCCTACCTGTGTCACCATCCTTGCTGCCCTCTGGGGAGGCAAAAGGTCCCATGGCCAGGGGTGACATGGGGTTGGCAGTTGGGTAAGGAGCATCGGTGCCATCACTGGAGGAGCCGCTCTGGCGCATCTTGCTGGAATCTGGGGGCTCTGGGCTCACTGAGGAGGCTGTGGGCGAGTGCTTGGGGTGCCTGGGCTTCTGCATCTCCATGGCCCTGCCAACTGAACACACAGAGAGCCATCACACTGCTGAAACTTCCCAGCCAACTGAAGACACAGAGCCATCACACTGCTGAAACCTCCCAGCGGGAAGAGAGGCAGCATTTCAGGACAAAAACATCTCCTAAACCATATTGCAATGATAAAAAGTTTACTGGGTCTTCTTGGCATGGATTTTTGAAGGCAGCAGGGATTGATTTCTGTGCCTTTCAGGGGTTCCCTGGGTCACGTACTGGCACTGCTGTCGTGTCGGCTCGGTCTCCTCGGGGGGCCCAGGATGTTGGGGAAGCCTCTCCTCTTCCCTTTCTCCTCTCCTTCCTTCTCTTTCTTGATGCTTTGCTGCAATTAAAGAAAAGCAAAACCACATCACTCACTGCTTCAAATCCAGCTGTTTACTGGGATTTGAACCAATTCCTTAAAGCTGCAGAAAGGAGAGGACACATCTTTCACAAAGTTTCACAGTTTCACCTTTTCACAATGCAGAACTGCTCGAAACTCTCCAAATATTCCAAAGGAAGCTGAAATGCTGATGGAAATAAGCATTGTGACCAGATACACCCCCATGCTGTGGGAGATGAGGGATCACACCCACAGAGATGAAATTTTGGTGGAAATATTCATTATGTAACGGGAAAAGTGGGGGTGGCAGGGAGAACAGCTCTCCTGCTTCGCAAATTGTGAGAGTTTGGGCAAATTTCTCCAGAAGAGAATTAAAGTAAACAAGGCAACAACCTTAACGAGACCCTCATGTGGCTGAAGGTTGTGCTCTGTGAAACATTCCTCACCGGAAGTTTTAGTAACTGTGAAAAGCAAGCTGAATTCAGGGGTAGAGATAAAAGAAATAATTATAATTATTCCTAATTCACATGTCTGCAAACAGATCCAAACCCCCCCCATTTCAGCTCTTAGGCTTGTAGCTCAGCAGTCCCAGATCCTCTTGAAACAGTAGAAAAATCACATCAATTTTTAAATTTTTCCTGCAGAATTAGGGTTTGAATTGCACACAAATCCTCTATGGACACAGCAGCCTTACCTTGATCTTTGGCAGGAAACCAATGCGGCCCCGCTTCTGCTCCAGGTTCCGGGGCTCCTTGACTTTGACTCCCAGGTGCTTCATGTAGGTGAGGATCACATACTGCATGGTGGAGCTGCCAAAGAAATAAAAATAATAAAAATGTGTTGGGAAAATACATTTTGTCAGTAAAATTAAAACTAAATGTCAAGGTTCTATTGAGAAGTTAATTTTTAAATTAAAGTTAGTTATAAAATAAACTGGAATAAACTATCACAGATAATGGGAAGACTCAGCCAACATCAGAATTTATGTTTTTGTAAATTATGGAGTAAATAAAGATATTATATATGGATGGTGGGGCCCTGGCACAGGCTCTCCCATSCCTGGAARTGTCCAAGGCCAGGCTGGACAGGGCTTGGAGCAGCYTGGGATAGGGGAAGGTGTCCCTGCCCATGGCARGGGRTGCAATTRAATCATCTTTAAGGTCCCTTCCAACCCAAACTATTYCATGATAAAAGGCACAGAAGCCCAAGAGGTGAAAATAAAATGTTGAGAATTACAGAATGTCTTAAAACTCTGCACTAAAACCGTATTTGATGTCACATTACAGTTTTGAGTTATGGTAAAAATATGCAGCTGTAAAAAATCACTGCAAAAAGCAGAGGAAAAACTGCTCAAATAAAAACTGAACAGGACAAGGCAAGCACGGAAAAATAAATGTTGGAGCAGATTGAAGCAGTTACAACACAAAACCAAAGAAACGTGAACTCTGAGTGACAGTAATTTTGAAGATCTGAGACACAGAAAACAAACATCAGCAAACGAGAGGCTGAATTGCAATGATTTATTCAGGAGATGAGTGCTGTGGAACAGCCAGGAGAGGGCTGTCTTGTTCTACTCTACACAACACAGCCAGCACTGGGWTTTCTGCACAAAAGCTCCCCCAAGTTCCATTACCTCTTGTCTTCTTCCAGAGGCTGAGATGTCATCCTGAAACAAGAAAGGATTTTAAAATGAAACTCAAAACCCAATTAACACCCAGTCCTATTCCCCCAGAGCATCAGTACTTGTGTTGAAGTGTTCTTTACAATGTTCAGAACTCCCAGCAGGGGGAAAAAATAAAACTAAAAAATCAAAAATGAAAGTTCAGCTGCGGAAATTGGATTCAGCCCACATTAGAGGCAAATTTAGGCTGTGAAGCTGTTGTTTCTACAGGAGAAGGGCTCAGATCTAATAATGCACAGGCTGTGCCCTATTGAACAGCAGCCTCCTGGACAGAACACATTTCAGTGTCAGCTCCATCCTGGCTGCCACTACCCAAACAAACACTCAGGGAGAGAAATATCAGTTCAACAACATCCAATTCCACTTTCTGATTCCTTCAACCCGTTCTTCCCAACTCTGGGGTGGCAACTTTAACATTTTACCCACTCCCTCCCCACAATATCTACCATCACTCACAGCACTTCCTCAATTTTGGCGATGATTTGCTCACCACAGCTCCTCTCCCTCTCCAAAGCGCTGCACCTTAATCATTTTACCCCCCTCCTCTCAATATCTGCCATCACTCACAACACTTCCTCGATTTTGGCGATGATTTGCTTGGCACAGCTCCTCTCCCTCTCCACGGCATTGTACCTTTATCTTTTTACCCCTTTTCTCCCCAATATTTCTGCAGTTACTCACAGCACTCCCTCAATTTTGGCGATGATCTGCTCAGCGCAGCTCCTCTCCCTCTCCATGGCATTGCACCTTTATCTTTTTACCCCATTTCTCCCCACAATATCTGCAGTCACTCACAACACTTCCTCAATTTTGGCGATGATTTGCTCGGCACAGCTCCTCTCCAAAGTGCTGCACCTTAATCATTTTACCCCCCTCCTCTCAATATCTGCAGTCACTCACAAAACTTCCTCAATTTTGGCGATGATTTGCTCGGCACAGCTCCTCTCCCTCTCCACGGCGTTGCGGTCGCGGAGCCGCTCAGCGTCCAGCTTGGTGAGCTCTCCCTCGGCCAGGGTCAGCCCCATGCTGCGCTTCTGCCTGCACCAGGGACAGCAGTGACATTTAGAGCTGGGACAGCAGCTCTGTGACACTCAGAGCATCCCCATTGTGGAATATAAAGAGGATTTTTGGGTGTTTAAATTATCTGCTGGAATGGAGAGGTTTTGAGGTGGAAAGGTTTGTTATTGAATTTGTCTCATGTTGGTACTTTGCACTCCACATGGAAAGGTAAATTAATGATCAAATTCTGCTCCATCCCCTGTAAACGGGATTATTCCCTGCCCAAAAGGGAGAAGGAAGAAAAATAGGGAAAGGCAAAGAAAAAAATAAGCTGATTATAAACACAATCAGTAAGATTTATATAACAACACCTCAGAAAACATGTTCTGCCATTCCCTCACAAAGCTTCAGGGAATGAAGAACCCACACTCTGGAGTTGTAATAGATCCTCTCTGAAGGATTGGTCACAGTGTGGCCTAAAGGTCCTTTCCTGGTGTGTTCCTACCCAATCCAAGGGGAATTCTTGTGTCCCTCAGGTTTCCCTGGCTGGACATGCTGACTGAAATCAAACATGAWTGAAATGGAAACTCCACGGAGAGCTGGTGGTACCTGAAATCTTCCAGGTTCCTCTGCACCTCTGGGCAGACTTTATCTTGCATGGTTTGGATGAACTGGCGGTGGAGCTCTTCAGGGAGGAGTTCTGGCCTTCTCCTGTCTGCGAGTCAATTAATTAATGAATTAATTAAYTATTCCTCTGAKAACAGCCTCCACCTTCAATAAAGCCATTTCCCTGTATTAACCCACCCAGAGCACCCTTTGCATTTTTCACTCACACAAAGCCAGCACCTCACCTAATTCCAAGGAGATTTCATCTGGAACTGGGACCTTCAGGTTCTGCAAAAGGGAAGAAAAGCTGGGAGTACCAACAGCACCCCAATAAAACCAACAAATTCTGCAAGGGAATTCCCTCAAAAGCCAAAATCAGACAATCTGAGGTGGTTTTCAACTGGGCACTCACATCCTGAATATGGATTTTATTTCATAGGGATTATTAAATCTGTACATGTGCTATCTAAATCTCTGCTACAGCTCCTGGGAGTTTAATTTATGACCACAAAGAATTTTCTCAGGCTTTGCAAAAGAGACATAAAATTTCCCAATCATTAGCACAGCCAGGTCAACACCCACAGCAATTATTAACTAAAAGGAAATGCAGAGCAGAGAGAAATGCTTACTTATCACTAAATTATTTCTCCTATCAGACAAAAAATCCCCTGGGATTTATTTTGTTACCAGGCATCTGACACCATTCGTTTTCCTGGTAACATTTAAACAAAAACACTTAAAAATTTAATAAATTATTAAATTTAATGAAGGTATTTATTAAATATTATTCCAATTTTTATTTTAAAACCTTTTAATTTTGGAGGGGCCTCAACCTCTTAATTTTTTGCAGTTCAGGTGAGTGGAGAAAGGTAAAAATCAGCTTGCTGGATGYGTTTGAAAATGAGGAAAACAAGTGGAACCTACTGCAGCTCTGTCCAGGAAAAACTGGTAAAACTCCAGGAAAACACGCCGGGTCTCTTTGGAGTTGGTTTGCTTGTACAGGTCTGTGTAAAGGTAGCACAGCTGTGGRGAACAGGAGAGCAGGAAATTAAGTGATGACCAGAAAAATCCAAGGTTTTTTCCAACATTTCAAGGATTTCAGTGAATTGCAAGAAATTGAATGGGAATGAAATCCTTGCAAGCCCCTCAGGGAGGTGCCCTGGAAATGGGGGGAGAGGAAAGGGGAGCACAGAGAGCTCACCCATCCCTGTGAACAACTAATCCCACACCTYGGGGTGCAATGAGAAGCTTTCAGGAGCTAAATCATTATTTGTAAACTGTCCAACACAGAGGAGACAATTCCTTTTGTGCTTCTCCATTCATCTGAGGAGATAAAAAGGATTTATCACCCCCAGACCTGCACAGGGCTGAGTTCCTCTCCTTGCCAGAAGAATGCTACACAAAATCTGGAGATTCTGGGGAAGATTCTCAAAGGTGAGCCAGGGAAACAATCCCAGAGCTTCTCACCAGTGCTGCAGGATCAAACTGGGACACAACATGGTGCAGGAGRACAGCCAGGTGAGCTGGGCGTGATTTCAGGAGCTCGATGTTCTGGAAGCAGCTGCACTGCCCATTGATCTGCAGGAATACACAGAATTACAGCTGGATTATTCAGGGTAAGGCAAAGGACAGCTGAAATAATTCAGATTGTGTCAAATTGTCTGTGACAATAATTCGGGATTTAACAGAACCTAAATAAGCCAAAGGAAATGAAATATGGCAAAACAATTTCTAGAAAGTTTGAGTTATGAGAAGAAAAGAGTAACAAAAACTCCAAGATGGATATTGTCATAAACTCCCCAAATGTTTCTGCTTGGCAAAGTCAGCAACAACAGCAATTCCATTCCCTAATTCTCATTTCACTGCTCAGTACAAACCATGATGGAGCAGTTCAGGAACAGGGGAAGAGAATTCTGGTTGGTGAGGAAAAAAATTTAAAAGTCATCCCCACCTGCTCCTGCTCCGTGTCAAAATCATCATCCTCTGCTCCAATGATCTGAGTCCCCACTCGGGACAGGGGACTCCCAACACTGGACGGGGAATCCTGGGGAAGAAAGGGCAGAAAAGCACAAAGCTGTGACTCATCCCAACAGTAAAACCTGGATATACTGCAATCATTTGAATTCTTCAAAAACTATTGCAACCATTTGAATTCTTCAAAAACACAGCCCAGAGCTGTGACTCCTCCCAACAGTAAAACCTGGAGATATTGCCATCAATTGAATTCTTCAAAAACTATTGTAATCATTTGAATTCTTCATAAACTATTGTAATAATTTGAATTCTTCAAAAACTATTGTAATCATTTGAATTCTTCAAAAACACAGCACAGAGTTGTGATGCCACCCCACAGTAAAACTTGGAAGATATTGCAAGCATCTGAGTTCTTAAAAATCTATTGCAATCATTTGAATTCTTCAAAAACAATTGCAAATCATTTGAATTCTTCAAAAACTATTGCAATCATTTGAATTCTTCAAAAATACTGCACTTTCTGCTGCATTCCCCAGCTGAGATGAGTGAAGATCCCAAAAAAGGCTGGACTCAAGGAATAAAACACATGCAAGTGCTCTCCTCCTTCCAGGCCCAGCTGCTTTAGTGCTGAGTAGATATTTATTTCTCTCCTCTAAATGGCCCTGCTCTTAAGCTCCATAAACATTTACTCAGCTAATTAACTTTCCCTGCACTGCTTTAATTGCATTTTCTTTTCTAAAGCCAAGTTCAGGGATGCTCCATTTCCAAAGTGGGGGAAAGCAGTGAGGTTTTMATGGGCCCATCAGAGGAGATGCTGTTGTGACACTCGATTTTTGTACTCACAGTATCTTGAAGCTCAGCCTTTTCTGGGCTCTCATCTGGATAAATCCTCTCCTTCAGGCCACTGCGAGGACTCTGGGAAAGAGGGAAGTTCAGCTCTGGTAAGTCCCAACAAATCCAGGAAAGGAAGAACTGCACTGTGAAGTCTGTCAGCCACAGCAGCCCYAAACTTCTCCTTTCTCACAGGAAAAGGAGGTGTGAAAACCAGACTAAAATCTGGGTCCTACGTGCAAGGTTAACAAACAAAAAAAAAAACCCAAAACGCAGCTGAATGCAGAAGTTTTGGTCAGAAATTTGGTGAAAGCAGAGCTAGAATCAGCAGCCTTTGGCTTTCTCCCTGCTCTCTCCACTTTTCCTCACAGCTCAGCTCTCTTCTCTTCACTCAGGAAACCCAGCAGAGCCTTATTTGCAACCATCACGTGCTGCTGGCTCATCTTCAGCGTGTCCAAAGGTTTTTCCAGCCTGGCTTTTTCCCAGCTGCACAACTCTTTCAAAACTCCCAAAGGTTTCTTTTGCCCCTGATCCTTACATTTCCCAGAGCTGGATTGCAAAGCTGGAATGTTCAGTGCACAAATCACCTGCACTGATCAAAACCAGGATCATGTTTATTGTGTTTATTAGCAAAGGATTGTGTTTATTAGCAAAGGTAATGATGAATTTTGTTGTGCATTTGTTATACACAAACACTGAGTGGGAGCTGATGGGATTTGGAGTTGGAATATTTCAAACCAGAGTTGTGGATGCTCCCATTCGACCCACCTCTCATTTACAACTGCTGGGACAAATTCAGCTGCCACATCCTTAAATTAACAACAAACTTAGGCTGAGAGTCTCAATTTCTCTGCACTAATTAGACAGGGATTTAATGAAGGATCAGGAGATTGGTAAGCAATGAGTGMACACAGGAAGGGGCAGGAATTGCAGCTGATTTGGGAGCAGCAGAGCTCTCTCCCACTCCCRTGGCAATCTGCCCACTGCTGCATCTGAGTCACGGTGCTGCACTTGGAATATTCCCTTCCAAGATTTCTCYAACTGGCAAATGAGGTTTGAAAAAGATGCTGGCATCCATATTCCTTTGTCTGGTTACAAGGATTAATGCCTTGTAGGACAAACCTAATCCTGGATAAACCCCCCAAACCCACCCTGTTTCTTTCCCAGTCTCCCACTCCAACCCAATCCAACAGGTTTTTCTCAGGGAAGGAGTTTTGGTGGGTATTGAGGACTCCACAACACACAAAGAATCTGCAAATTGACCCCAAAGGCCCTGGGCTGGGTCAGACTCACATCAGCGATGTCACTGTTGGGTCTGGAGGGGCTGTCACCACTGAAATCCAGTTTGCTGCTGCTGTCCCCRCTCTCTGCCTCCCCCTCGCTGATCTGCAGCGATTCTGACACCGACCTGGAGGACAAAACTCCATCCTGGAAAGAGAGAAATGAGTTGGGAGACAGCAGAATAACTCAAGAGACCATCCTTAACCAGCAGCTGTTTCAAAARCCTTAACCAGCAGCTGTTTCAAAAGCCACGTAGCTCACATTACTCATAAAACATTGATTTTTTCCAGAAAAATCTTCAAGGCTTTTCTAAGAGAAAACAACAAAACCTACACCTAAGTTTTCAGCACTTAAAACACAGGCATAGAGAAAAGGGCAAAAATAATACAATCTGCGTTTATTTTTTTTTCAAAAGTGAAAGCAAAATTGCTTTAAGCTTCCAAAGAATGACTTCACRGGTGTATTTTAAGTTGCACTGACAGATAATAAACACTTCACTGCTTGTACTTGTTCTTAAAAGCAGCTTTTCACAGATGAAAGTAAAATCTACCCCACATCCTGATTGCCATTGCAGGGCTTGCCAGCTAAACTGCCTGTGTGAGCACAGGGAACTGCAGCGTGCCCAGAACATCACCAGAATCACCAAAATCACCAGAATTCTGCCTGGGAGCACCCCCAGAGCAGCTGATCCCCCGTGTTACCTGAGTGCAGCCCGTGGCCTTGGACAGCTGCTCCTGCAGCTGAGGAATGTGTTTCTTTGCCTCCTGGATCTCCTTGAGCAGGCGGGTGGAGGGCGTTCGGCTGTAATCCTCCTGCAGGGACTGCAAAGGAGTTGGGAGAGATTCACTGAGCCTTT